ATGCTGTCCAGGCACCGGGGGAGGCTTAGCCACTTCGCAGCTTCTGTCCCTAGCTGTTACTAGCAGGACCGCTCTCCTCCCCTCCTGTGAACAGTGGTCTCCAGACATCCTAATGTTCTGAGAAGGAAGGAAAAACTGCCCCCAACCACTGATAGAGGGGAATCAATGCAGCCAGGAAAACAGGCTGAATTGGTCAAAAAAGGCTTTATATAATATAGATTGAAAAGGTGATTATAAATTAATTACAGGAGGGTCACAAAGAGAAGAGCTGACTGCACCAACCCAGGGTGTTAGGATTCCACCTCTGCAACTCAGGCAAGGGTCTGCGTGGTGCAATCTACTCAGATCTCACAAATTGGCAATGCTAAGAACACAGAGTACGATGTTGCTAAACTTCCTATTTCCCTCAAAAAACTCAGGCATCCAGATTTTTATAATTACAGACATAAATGTGCTGAGAAGTAATGTAATTTTTAAAAATAATTCTGCAAGTCAAACAAAACATTTGGTTTTTCAGCAACTGTTTTGTTACCTCCTTTCTGCCAGTATCGAGAGAGAGGGTGGCTCTGAGTATGAGGATCTAGGAAGCTGTGCCCAGCTATATGCCAACAAGGGAGAGCTGCTGCCAGTGCGCCTGCCAGCTCTAGAATTACCTAACCACAGCATCTCCAGAGCAACACGGGAGCCTAAGCCTGTCCACTAGGAGGAGCAAGTCCAGACAGTAACTGAGAAAAGCCTCACAACTCAGGGTGCCTCCTGGGGGCGGGAAGAAGACTCTGCAATTCCACTTAGCTAGCAAGAGACCAGCCCTTGGGAAGGAAGGAAAACGCACTGCTGCGCTTCAGCACTGGAACTGCTGGGCAAATCTCGGCACATCTGGGAATCCTGACCGAGGTACCATCAGCCACCCACTCCTCAAAATAACAGGTTTGCTAGTGTGGTGGCCCATGCCTCTAACCCCATCACTCTGGGAAGCTGAGGCAGACAGATCGCTTTGAGTTCGAGGCCAGCCTGGGCTACAGAGTGAGATCCTGTTTTAAACAACAAAGATAACAGACTTGCAAGGCACCAGTGCACAGTGCAGAGGCAAGGGTTCTTCACCGGGGTCAGATGTCAGACTACAGCCATCGCACAGCAGCATGCAGACGGCTCCACCTTCCCCGTAGTACACCACCGCAGGGGAGGCTGATGCCATCTGGCTTCCCAAGGCCGCACAAGCAGTCCTTGCTGCTTAACTCTGCTCTGAGGATAAGAGGAGGGCCCTTTCCCTAAGAGCCAGGGACCCTTCTGCACGCTAGGCCAGACCGACAAGCTCCTTTCCCAGAAGGTGCTTCACACACGGCCGCTCAAACTGCCTGATTGTAATTCTCCCGATGGACAAAGGCAACGCTTCCCTGTGGACCGGCCCTCTATCACGATTCACTGCAGTCGCTGCCGGCTGTGGACTCTGCCTCACTCTAGCTATGACACGTGCCCAACGGCCTGCTGGGTGGTCTCTTTAGGACTTAACAGAAGGTCCCACCTTTCAGGACCTCCCAGCTGCTCTCCTGGATAAGTTCCCAGAGCCAAGCCTGCTAGATCTTCAAGGTTCCATCTAATTTTTCAAAAATGTTGGCCAGGTGTTGGAGAGCTGTTGCCAGTGTGCCTGCCAGCTATAATTATAGCACACACCTATTGTCCCAGCACTTGGGAGGCTGAGGCAGGAGGACTGCTGAGAGTTCAAGGCCAGCCTGGGCTACATAATGAGTTCAAGGCCAGCCGAGCCACATAATACCCTGTCTCAAAAAAAATTTTTTTTTTCAAAAATCTTTGTTCATTTACTTATTTATTCATTTACTGACTTATAGACTGGGTCTCACTTTGTTGCTTACACTGGCCTTGAACTTTGATCCTCCTGCTTCAATTTCTCAAGTAACTAGAATGATAGGTATGTGTCAACACACGCGGTGCCATGTACCTTTTTAGAGACCTGCACTTTGCTTTTCATTATTGATGTATCTTTTTTTTTTTTTTTTCCTTTTTTTTTTTTTTTTTATTTTTTTTTTTTTTTTTTTTTTTTTTTTTTTTTTTTTTTTTTTGGTTATCAGGGATTGAATTTGAGACCTTGCACTTGACTTAGCTAAATCCCCCGCCCTAGGTGTATCTTTTTAAGCACAATAGGTCATAGGGGCCTTTCATCTATATGATGAATAAAAGCTTACTAATGTTAATCCAGTAGTCAAAAAGACCCTTCCTTGGCTATGGTACTATTACAGACAGATAAATTAGAAGAAATATTACAGGTGTTATATATACCAAGCCAGTGAGAGAACACCAAATACCGGGACGCAGCTAAAACCGAAAGAAGTTTATTTCACACGTGCGGACTCCACTTCCTAAGAGAAGTGAAGCCTCCTTACAGCATTGTGCAGAGGTTTTATAGGATTTTTCAAAAATAGAAAGTTCAAACGTAGGTCAGGGTTTTCTCACAGGTACTAGGGGGAGAAACTTCAAACACATTCACTCATCTTACACTTATCTTCTACTTACAAGTACTTATCTTACACTTATCTCACAGGGCAGTGTTTTATGGTCACCTTTAACATACCATCTGTTCCTGGGCAGGCTTGCAATTAGCGCAAGAAGGTTTTTGCAGTTTAAGCAGTTTCCCTGTTGTGTGATGAGGGGAGGGGGAAACAACAATCTCTGGGCTCATTAGCCGGCCAACATGGAGTCACTTTAGCTCGGTGGGCTCTCACAACAGGCAGTCTGACTGGGCCTGTAGGGAGTCAGTGCAGAGAATGAGAACACACGGCAACTGTGGCTAGAGGTGCATCTGCTTAATTCTAACAACCTTACAAGGTAGGTGTCTTTACTACTTCAGCATACAGGTGAGAAAGCGAAGGCATAAAGAGATAACCTAGGCAGGCGTGGTGGCACATGCCGATCGTCCCAGTGCTTGGGAGCCTGAAGGATTGTGAGTTCAAAGCAACAAAACCCAGGGAACCTACTCTTGTCTGCCAAGTGACCAACCATCTGTCTTTTCACAACCAGTCTTAGAAATAATTTTTAAAAATGCCCTTCATGGAAGGAGCAGGCCTAACTATAGCAAACAAAGGAAAGGGAAACCCAAACTAACCACGCAAGAATGCACCGCCACTCTGAAGGGCACACATATGAAGGAATTATGCTTTTTCATCTAAAAACCCGAGCAGGGTGGTTCTCCCAATAGGTGTCCTCCCTCTTTTCTATAATCTCTGCTGCCATGCGCAGGGCAGACCTCCCCACAGAGCATTTCAGCCGCTCACAGTCAGCTTTCCATAGACGTCAAGCCTTCCCTCCTGACCCCAGGCAGCTATTTATCCACTGCGGAGGTCAGAGGTCCAGAGTCCTCTTCCCCACAACATGCCGGTGCAGGCACACCCCAGCTCCTTCAGGTCTGCTGCAGGCCGGTTGTACAAACTGCAGTCCCAGGGCCACGGAAACCCCATTCCCTCTTCTCTGCTCTTGTTTTCTCACTGATGCTCCTCAGCAGCTCAAATTGTTTTACCAATGTTACCATATCCCTACCCATCAGTGCACAAACTCGGGGAGCTGCTTTATTCACTCTCGTGGATTTGAAGAATGCCTGACACAGAGGATTCGCACAGATACCTGCTGGAAAAGGGAATAAATACATATCTAAAAAGGATGCTTGTTTCTAATCCTCAGTCCTCCCCTACTTGTCAGATTCAGGCTTTGACCTCAAAACTACCTTGAAAGGAGAAACTAGGGGTGGTGTTACTTCCAAAGGGAGATAGGCTGGCAGTGTTGCAGCGCATGCCTGTATTCCTAGCACTGAGGAGGCTGAGGCAGGAGGATTGTCATGAGTTCAAGGCCAGCCTGGGCTATATAGTGAAATCGTGTCTCAAAAAGCAAAACAAAACAAACCTCAACTTTGCTCCATGATTGTATATAATAGGATGTGAACAGGATTTGTCTACAAATTGTCTACAGGATTTGTCTATATATGTTGAACTACATATCGAGACCCTGTCTCGAAACACCAAAAAACAAAAACAGAAACAAAAAATCCCTCTACTTACAAAGTTAGGGATTACAGTCCAATTACTGTTGCCAGTCACAGCAGGTACTGAATAAGGGGTGACGCCAAGGTCCTAAGAGCAACCTCAGTAAACACAGAATGTATCCTCCTCTCCTCCTTCAACCCTCATCCCCACCCCGGCCCCAAACCGCCTCCAGACAAAAACCAGAAGTAAAAACCAGCGGTTGCGCACAAGGTCTCGGGTTCAATAGAGAGAAAGAGAGCGCGCGCACACACAACAAACGTAAGGTGTTATTTACTGGGGATAAATTTAGCAACCACAACCACTAGTTAAACATTCAAATCTGCACGGGTAGAACAAGCAGAGGTCAAACGAAGTGTGGATTGTCAGGACCCACAAACCAAACTGAAAAATAACGCCAGGATCAGGATAAAGAGATGGCTGCTAGACAGAAGCACTAGATTTAAGAGAAAGGAAAAGTCAGGCTTTGGTGTAAAGGGAAGAGCTACGGAATGGAAGGAGCCCCTCGTCACCAATGAACCTTGTCAAGTCTTGTCACAATCTGATCTCTCCCTAATCACAGAGCAAGGGTGCAGACTGCACTTCTGAGTTCATTCGACGGCGCTCCAAGCGGGTCCCAGCTAACTCACCTCCTGACGGAAAACTTCCAGCAGCCGCACTTCGGGAGCACAGTCAGGCCACGACTTGCCCCAGAAGTACCGTATGCCAGAGGGCACAGTAACCAGGTAGTCCACGTGCGAATACAAACAAATTGGGCCCTGGGCCTCTTTCTTCGGCTGACGGAGACCGCTATTCCCTTACAGGACTGGACAATGTCCTCCCTCTCCACCCCGGTGACCTGATTCCTGCTGCAAGCGTCCCTCCCGCAAAACTGGGTCTGGGGGCCCTGCACACCATGGTCAGAGTCCTCACCGACGGCCCCCAAACCAATTAACAACACTGACAAGTGCTTACGCAGAGACCACCTTCCCGTCCAGGATTCCTGCCGGCGCCATAGCCTTTACTAGTTCGCTGCCCACGATGGTCGCCGAGAAACCCGAGGCGCACTCCGCAGCAGCTGGACAGCCCAACCCACGTGCTTAGCGCCTGCCCAGGGGGATCGCGCTACTGCGCCTGTGCCACTATCCAAGGCGCGCACACTATCAATTTGGAGCGGAAGAGCAAGGGGCTGCAGACGCAAAAGAGTAAAGGAACGATAAAGAAAATTGGTGGTGACTGGCTGGTGGAAATGATTGGCTGCTGGAAACAGCCTGTGCGAGGCGTACCTTTGTGAGGGGCGGGAGCCCGCGAACAGGAGTCTGGGACTGATTCCGGAACCCGCTGAGATTCCAACCAATCAGAGCGCGGGACAGGCCGGAGGCGGGGCGGGCGAGAAGATCTCGCGGGAACGCGGCCTCCGGGCCCTGGAAGCAAGTCTTCTGGACCGGCCTCAGTTCTGGGAGGTCCTGTTCCAGGCTGGCTGCTTCGCCGGGGAGCTGTGGCCGACCCCGCGCAGGAGCGGTCAGGGCGCCGGGTGACTGCGGGTGTTGAGCGTGGGGCGGCTTCCGAGTTTCTCACACCGGCGCCGCCAGACGGGGGCGGCCAGGGCCATTTCTGAGGTGACTTAAAATTTCCTCGCGGAGCCTGCTGCCCACCCGAGGAGAAACGGCTGTGTCTCCCCGCGGAGTTGCGGAGGTCGGGAGGGTCGGCAGAAAATTGGAGGCCCGGCGATGGAAGTATCCTCAGCGGGATTGGGGGTGCGGGCAGCAGGCTAGAGGGCCAAGCGGAGGGCGGACGCTGAATTTGCTTTCTTAGCTCTAGGAAGCGGGCTGATCTGCCCTCAGCTCAGACAGCCCTCCCCAAGCTTGGGAAGAAAAGTCCTTCCGACCAGACCAGATAGCTGGGTTTTCCGTCAGCCTTTCTTTGGCTGCCTTTGTAATGGACACTGCAAGATAGAACGTTAAAGATTTGTTTCTTTTAGAGAAAACAACTCCCAGTTTGCTGCGGCTGAGCACAGAATCGACACCTTCTCCTCTTCTCAGCCCCACAGTGACAGACTGTGCAGATGCTGGTCCCAGGTGGCCGGAGTCCCATTTCTTTTCCACAAGAAAGGGGCAAAAGAGCAGAAAATGAAAATGGTCTGCATTCTCCGTGGTCACCCTGCCCTCTGTTCCTTACTATAAAGACTACACGCCTGGACACGGTGAGATGGTTATTTGAGGCTAATTGGCCCCACCATCTCCTTGGAGCTAGCTTATAAATCTAAGTAACCAGTATAGCATAGTGTTTCAACTAAGGACAGAGGTCATTTCCTGAATTTATTTATTTATTTTGGTGGACTTTTGATATGTGACTTGCCTAAGATGAATATTTTATAGTACCCATGGAAAGAGAAACTTAGCAATCTTACTGAAGTATAAGATACAAACCAAGCTGGGGATTTAGCTCAGTGGTTCTGTTGCCTGCCTCGAAAGCACAAGGTTCCGAGTTCGATCCTCAGTACAAAAAAAAAAAAAGATTCATACCTTAAAACTCACCCATTTTGGGTCAGGGATTTAGCTTGATGGCACAAGGTCCTGAGTTCAATTCCCAGTACAGAGGGAGCAGTGATTATTTTAGTACGTTTACAGTTGTGCAGTCATCACCATAATAGAATTAGAGAATCGTTCATTGTCTATTTTTTTCAGTGTTAGAGGCTGAATCCTGGGCTTTCCTGCCAAGCTCCTCAACCCTTTTTTTTAAATTTTGAGACCCAGTCTTGCTAAATTGCCCAGGTTGGGCTTGATTTGTAGTCCACCTGCCTCAGCCTTCCAGAGTACTGGGATTACAGGTGTGTGCCACCATGCCCAACTCTTTGATGATTTTTTCAGGTAATTGATTCTTTTCTACCTCCTTCCTTCCCCTTAGAAAGAGAGAAGGAATGAACTACGACCTTCTCCATGTTAAAAATGGCTTTAAAACTGGACATGGTGGCGCACACCTGTAATGCCAGCACTCAGGAAGGCTAAGGCAGGATTATAATTTCAACCCCAGCCCGGGCAATTAAACAATTTAGTGAAACCCCACCTCAAAATTTTAAAAGGTGGGGGTGGGGTGGGACAGGGGATGTAGCTCAATGTGAAGGCCCTGGATTCAATCCTTAGTAACACATTTAAAAAAAAAAAAAAAAAACTCTACCACTGAGTTATACCCTCAGCTCCTACTTTACCATTCTTGAAGTTTGCACAAGTGAACACATCAATATGATATGTAATGATACAATAGTGAATTCTATACAAAGCCGGCTAGCAGTCTCAGTATGGAAGAATGATGTCAGAAACCACAAGGAGGAAGTTAAAGTTTTTATTAGAATGAAGAGAGTCCTGGTTTATTCAGGAGGGTAATCTGTAAAATGAAGTTTTTGCAAGGCCCCACCATCCAGAACTTTTTATGGGTAATTGGAACGTAGGCCTTGCTCAGTTGTTTAGTTGCCACCTATCACAGCTTCCTCTGTGAATTTAAAATGACCAATTGGAACTCAAGTTCTCTAACCCAGTTACTCAGCATGTAGAGTTTAAAGGAAATGGATTTTGGGCAAAAACTAGTTATTTTACATTTTAATTCATCAATGCTCAGGAGGGACTGCAACTCTGTACTAGGGAGGAGAAAGAACTTGCCAGAAGCAGTGCCTGGTGTAGGCCCAAAACATGGACATTTCATCTCTATGTCTATTGCCTTTGCCATATCAACAGATTGATTTGCAGCTGTAATACTTATATAGGACTTATTTATTTATTGAACAAATGTTGAGCTGCTACTATATGCCAACAACACTGCTCTAGATGGTAAAGGAATACTGGCATACCAAGTACTGTAGTGAACTGTTCTTGCCTTAGGCCCATATTCTGGTGCAGGTGACTGATCAATTAAAAAAAAATGTGTACTCTAACTTTAGAGATGGAAACATGATATATGTAATTTTTTTTATTGTAGTGAACTGTTCTTGCCTTAGGCCCATATTCTGGTGCAGGTGACTGATCAATTAAAAAAAATGTGTACTCTAACTTTAGAGATGGAAACATGATATATGTAATTTTTTTTTAATTTTGCAGTATTGAAGATTGGGCCCACAACATCATGAAAGCCAGGCAAGCACTCTACTACCCTTCCCCAGCCTCGAAACGTGTTTTTTAAAAACAGGCAAAATCAAAGGATAGTGATGGTGGGAAGGTGGGAGAGTACTATTTGTTTGTTTGTTTGTTTGTTTTGGGATCGAACTCGGGTACTTGGCGCTTGTGAGGCAGGCAGCAAAACCACTGAGCTAAATCCCAAGCTCATATTTTTAAATTGTGAAAAGTTTCTGTGGTATTCTGACTTGAGCAGAAACTTGAATGAAGGGAAGAATTCAGAGTGCTAAGAGAGAAAGCAAGGATTTGATTTGAGCAATTGGCAGCTGGAATTGCCATTTGAACTTCCTCTGGAAGTGTCACCCAGCAGGGTCCAAGGAGGTTCCTAAACTCACCCATAGAAATTAATTTACAGGTCACTGACTCCAACTATTTAGAAAGAATTTTCAGGACATGTCAGTAAAAGGCATAAAGGGATTTATTAGCTAGAAATATAAAAATCATGTACTCAGTGCAGGCCATCAAGAGAAGAAAGGCTCATAATCTGAATCTTGGTATATTTTTGGGTCTCAAGGGTGACTTTCAAGATAGGTGATCTATTCTATGTTCAATTTTTTTCAGGTAAAATGCTATTAAGTTTCTTGAAAGAATAGTTATCTTGAAGCTCTTCCTCTGCTAAAGTTGATAAGATGCACGTGAATAGCTATAAGAAAACCAATGTGTCATAAATGACACTCCATCTGATGATAATTCATCAGCGGACGAAATTATTCTTAAGGGGATCAGAAAAGCTTTGCTGAAGAAATAACATTTAGCTGGAACTTGAATTTAAGGAAAATTTAGATGTTCTGAGATGGTGGGAGAGACTACACTGTAAAAATAAGACAATAGGTGGTAAGAAATGAATGTATAAAGCAACTACCAAAAAAAAAAAAAAAAAAAAGGATGATCTAATGTTGGGCATGTGGCACAAGCCTATAATTCCAGCACTTGGAAATTGGAAAACTGAGGCTGAGACAGGAGAATCACTGCAAGTTCAAGGCCAGTCTGAACAACATAGGGAGACCCACTTTAAAAAAACAAAAATGTTGCTACCTTGGCTGATGGTATAGTTCATTGGTACAGTACTTGCTTGCCTAGTGTGTTTTAAGACCCTGAATTTGAGCCATATACAAAAAATTGCTTCCTAGTTTACCTTTCTGTTACTGTCACATTAACCTGTTTTATTATAGCATTTATCACTGGCTAAAGTGTTGTGGTTTTGTTTTTTTGACATAGCATCTCACTATGTTCCCTGGGTGGCCTCATACTCCTAGGTCAAACAAAATTATGCCTCACTCATCAGGCTAGGACTACAGGAGTGTGCCACTATGACTGGTGGTTATTTTTAATATACTTGTTGACTCTCTGACTTTCCTATGAGAATATAAGCATATTAAAAATCTTGTAGAGAAAAATACATTCCTTGTTCTCCTGATTTAATTATCCATCACTTGCATTTCTATGAATATTACTTAATTTATCTCTGCTTCATTTTTATCATATAAAAATGACAGATCTCAGCACTGAGTTTACATTGAAATGATCCGTATAGCTTTTAAAAACTATGGGGAGAAAGCCAGGTGTGGTAGTGCGTGCCTGTAATCCTAGCACTGAAAGGGCTGAGGCAGGAAGATCACTGCAAATTTGAGGTAAGTCTGGGCTCCATAATGAACTCAAGGTAAGCCTGGACTACATAGCAAATAGCCTGTCTAAACAAGTGAATACAGAATGGTGATCAGTATCAAAATATAGCCTCTGTGGGACCTGGAATCCAGAAATCTGGAAAATAACAGTAAACAAACACAAAAATCCTGAGAATTGCAAGGGAACTGACAGGAAAATGAAAAACTACAGTGAAGCTGGAGAAATGGACCACAATGCAGAGAAAAGAACAAAGCAGTCTGGGTTCTGGGGAGAACCTGTCTGCACATACAAGGTGAGCACCCAAAGTCAGGAGCTCCAGGGGGAAGCAGTGGACCTGGTCAGCAGTGCTAGTTCTAAGAAAAGCCCACAGATATTGTGAACTGCAAGAACCATATGTGGATTTACTCTTAAAAGTGACTCCTACGCAGCAGGCTAGAGTAGCAGAAGAAATCCAGTGATCACCAGCCATATTGCTAGAGAATGTTTAATCAGGTGCCACCTTGGGAAGGGGTTAATTTCTTTGTTTGCTTTTTTGAAACAAGGTCTCGCTTTATAGTGCAGCTTGGCCTTGAACTCACTATGTAGCCCAAGATGGCCTTGAACTAGTGGTGCTCCTCCTGCCTCAGCCTCGTAGTGCTGGGATCACAGGCATGCACCACCATGCCTGGTGGGGTTGATTTAAAACAGCCACAGAACAACTACAGGACAACTTCACTTCAGGGTTTCTACTGTTACCCTTCCACAGTGACTGGATGGGGAAAAGCCATAGGAGATAGTTGCAGATTAGACATAGATTCCCCTGAGAAGTTTAAGCTCAGCCTGGGAAGAACATGGAACCCTGCCCTCTGTGATGAGAAGCCAGGCCTGATGTGTGGTTTTTCAGAAGCAGCTGGATCTCGCATTAAGACCAGTGGTCTGCTTGAACCCTCAACCTACTGCCTACATCCAGCACAGTGTAGAGAGGTCTGATCACTTTCCCATCAGCCAACATGAGCAAGAACATGCTTCAGCTAGGACAGTTGCCATAGCCTGGGGTAAGTAGACAGGGGTCTCTGAAACAGGTGATCACTCAGATGCACAGACCATAAAACAGAAAAATCACACCTTGCTAGATTCCAAAACAATCCTAGAAGGAAACCATGGGTTCAAAAATAGGAGATTTTTTTGTTTATTTTTATATATTCATTTTTTTCTTTCAACTTTCCTTTTCTTATTCTTTTCTGTTACCTTTAATTCTATTAATTTATTTTTCCTCCTTCATAGGATCCTTTATATCACTTTGCTCCTCATCTTCTGTTTAATTTTTCAAATATTTCCCTCATTCTCCCATTTTACATCCTTTCCATCTTTATTAGTATAACCATTTAAGATTTATTAATTTTTGATCATTAACACTGCTATTACTGTTAAATATTTCTCTATTGTTAGTGGAGATGCAGTTGTTGCATTTAGTAGATATTTATGTCAATATTTGGTTTCTCTTATGTTTTATACTATAACTATAGAGCTCTTCTATAAGAATTTAACTCAAGCCAGGTGTGGTGGCGCATGTCTGTAATCCCAGCACTTGGGAGGCTGAGGCAGGAGGATCGCTGTGAATTCGAGACCAGCCTAAGGTACATAGTGAGTTCCAGGTCAGTCTCAACTACATAGTGAGACCCTGTCTCAAAAAAACCACACGCGCAAAAAAAATTTTTTTTAACTCAGTGGCACTGCACCTGGCTGGTAAGCTCAAGGTCTGGAGTTTGATTCCCAGTACAAAGAAAAAAAAAAGTGGTATATTATTTGTTCTTATGGTATATTATATCGTTTGTCTTTGACACTAGTATTGTTGCTGATTTAGTTGCTGTTGCCAGAGTAGCATAGTTGTTGGTGTTAATAGGTTTTCTCTGTATGCCAATGTCTGAATTTGTGTCATTAACAATACTGTGGTCCATTCCCAGAGAAAGGGTTCCTCAGTCAATTATTCTGCATTGTCCTCAAATTAACAGGTGGTGAGATCTTGGAAAACAGGCAAAGGCCTATAACTAATCATACCCAGAGTGCATCACTGAAAAGCAGTCACTAAAGAGATCTCCACTCTGAGTGTCTACAAGCTTCAGCATGCGTGTACACACACACACACTCTCTCTCTCTCTCTCTCTCTCTCTCTCTAAAATAAAATATGAGAAGACAAGGTGACAAAGTGCTTCCAAAATTCCCAATACTCCCAAAGCTGAGCCCTGGGTCATTGAGGAAAAGGAAATCAAAAGCCCCACTCTTTAATTATTTAAAATGAAAAAAGAAGATTAAATAAACAGATCAAGAGGGCTGGGGATTAGCTCAGTGGTGCCACTGCTTGCTTTGGCAAGCATAAGGTCCCTAGTTCAACCCCTGATACCAAAAACAAAAAAAAAACATCAGTGAAGTGCTCAGTGACTGCAAAGAAGATATAACTAAACAGATAATGGGCTTAAAAATCAAAATGATGAGTTTTCATTAAACACAAAAAACTATCAGCTAAACCAAACAATACAATTATAATACAAAACATGAATGAACGTGCTGGATATGGTGCATGCCTATAATCCCAACACTCCAGAGGCTAAATCAGAAGGATTTACATGAGTTGAAGGTCATCCTGAGCTACATAATGAGACCATGTCCAAAAAAAAGACCATTTTTAGCAAAGAATTTGAGTCCATGAAAAGTACCAAACAATTCCAGGAGGTTAAAAACTTGATAAAGTATGGGCAGCAGAAGTTACATAAGTTATATAAGGATAGTATAAGACTAAAAGAAGTGATGTCAATGACCAATTAGTCAGATACTTTGAAAATATGAAAAGTAGATCCATGAAGTGCTAGATGGTCCAAGAAGACAAGATTAATTTGAATTAGTGAAAAATAAAAAAAATAGCATAGAAGGCATTTTAAAACCCTATTTACAGAAATAGAAAACTTTCCAAATATGGGGAAAATTAAACATACAGAGAGGTGAGGTATAAAAAACTCTAAATAGCCATAATCCAAAATAAACTTCTCCACAAATACATTGTAGTCAAAATCCCAGAAGTCCAACACAAAGAATCATTTTCCCCATTGTTTATTGGTACATTTAAAGCAAACAATACAGTTACACTTATCATTGCAGTCTTGTACCTTTACATGATATGTCTTGGTTCTTGTTTTTTCCCCATACCCCTGCCCAAAGTTAGAATCTTAAAAGCTGTGAGAGAAAACCAACAAATCATTTCTAAAGGTAAGCTAATTAGAATTACAGCAAACATCTCAACACAAACCTCAAGGGCCAAGAGAGCTTGGAATAAAGTATTTCAAGCCCTAAAAAACAAACAAACAAAAAACTTTCAACTCAGACTGTTACGTCCTGCAAAACTCTTTCAAAATTGATGGAGAAATAAGGCATTTTCATGACAAAAAGAACTAACAAATTTATGGCCACTGGGGATTTAGCTCAGTGGTACCATGCCTGCCTTGCAAGTGTGAGGTCCTGAGTTTGGACCCCCATAAGGGAAAAACAAATTCATGACCACTGTACCAGCACTCCAAAAAATTCTCAAGAATATTCTAGAAAGAGAAAATGAAGTTCAACAGAGTCAAATAGTTTAACAGAATGGGGCTGGGAATTTAGCTCAGCGACACCATATCTGCCTCACAAGCACAAGGTTCCAAGTTTGATCCCCAGTACCAAAAAAAAAAAAAAAAAAGTTTAACAATGAATACAGCAAGCAAGGTGAGCATTAAGTGGAAGGAAAGGGAAGTTACTAACAGGAAAATAATCCAATGAGAGAAAAAAAGTACTTTTCAGTAGTACTTCACAATGTGAAGATTTGACTTTCCCAATTGAAAGAAATAGGATAGCAGAATGAATCAAGAAACAACTCGATGGCCAGGGATTTAGCTCAGTGGTTCAGTGGCCTGCCTTGCAAGCACAAGGACCCGAGTTCAATCCCTGGTACCAAAAAAAAGAGAAAGAACTCAATGATACCCTGCATACAAAAAGCCACTTTTAATCCAAAAAATTCACAGACTAAAAATCAAAGGATGGAAAGCAATATTCTGTGTAGTGGAAACTCAAAAACAAACAGGAGTGGCTATCTTACATTCAGACAAAGTGAACTTCATGGCAAACTGATCAGAAGAGGCAAATAAGATCACCATATAGTAGTTAAGGGGACAATTCAACAAGAAGAAATAACAATTATAAACACAAAAATACGGACTAAGCTGCAGTGCAACCAACTTCATAAACACTACTAGACATAAAATGTATAAATATCAACACAACTATATTGGAAGACTTCAATATCCCACTGTCAAAAAGATTAGACAAATGAGTTCAGTCAAACCATTGAACAAATAGACCTAATAAATATCTAGGCGGATCTACCCAACAAAAATATACAGTCTCAGCAGCATATGAGACCTTCTTCAAAATAGACCACATGCTAACCCATAAAACATGCTTAAGTAAATGGAAAAGAATCTATACCATGCGTATTATCAATCATAGTGTAATGAAAGTAGCTATCAATGGCCAAAGAAATCACAGAAATCATGCAAACATGAAAATTAAACAATGTTCTCCTGAATAATCAGTGGATCACAGAAGAAATAGAGGAAGAGATTAGTTTCTAGATTCGAACAATAATGCCTGTACAATGCCAGAACTTATACAATGAAAGCAATCCTAAGTGGGAATTTTGTAACTAAATGACCACATCACAAAAACAGAATGAACCCAAATAAATAACCTAATAATGCACATTAAGGTCCTAGAAAAACAAGAATTATCCATAGCCAAAGCTAGTACAAGGAAGGAAATTATAAAGATGATAGCAGAAATTAATGAAATTGAGACATGGAAGCAATGAATCGAAGAATAGTTTCTTTGAAAGAATAAACAAAATGCTGGGGAATTGGCTCAGTGGTTCCGCTGCCTGCCTTGCAAGCACAAAGGCCAGAGTTTGATCCCTGGTACCACACACATACACACGCACATACACACAAACAAAATAGAAAAGCCCTTAGCCAATCTTACCAAAAGGGAAAGAAATACAAATCAATGCCATGAGAAATGAAAAAGGTGAATTACAGTGGACACCACCAAAATCGAGAAGATTATTAATAACTACTTTGAGAACTTTTACTCCAATAAGTTGGAGAATCCAGAGTAAGTGATTAAAAAAAAAAGAAAAAAAAAAAAAAAAAAAAAAAAAAAAAAACCCTGGCTGGGGATTTAGCTCAGTGATTCTGCCACCTGTCATGCAAGCACAAGGGCCCACGTTCCATCCCCAGTGCAAAAACAAAAGCCCTAAATAATCCAATAACAGGCAACAAAAAGAAAGTATAGTAATACCTAGGCTCACAAATGCTTGTTTATGAATAATTTCGTTCATAAACAAGCATTCAGCAAGAACTCTGCATTGTGTGACAAACATGACCATGGCCACAATTTGTGATGGAACTGAACTACTGAGCTACAGGGTACAAATATTTGGTTTTAGGAGACACTGCTAAAGACATCTTTGAAATGTCTCAATGTTACCTGGTTTTGGGAGTCTCCTTCTAGAGGTGGTTTCTAGGTTCTTTCTGTCCTGATCAAAGAATTGGTCAAGACAAGCACAGAAGGTAGCAAGGTTTTACATTTATGAAAGGCAGGAAAGAAGTAACCCTAAGCCAACTAAAGTCGGGCATGGTGGAGTACACCTGTGATCTCAGCACTCAGGAGACTGAGGCAGGTGACTCACCTCAAGTTTCCAGGGCATGAACTACCTAAGAGACCCTGTCTCAGAAAAAAAAAAAAATCAGGGTCAAGACAAGGATGTGCATTATTACCAATCCTGTTTAATATAATAGTCAAAACATTAGCCAGTGAAATCAGGCAAGCGGAAGAAACAAAAGGGGTATGTACAAGAAAATAAGTCAAATTATGATTTGCATATAACATGATTCTCTACATAGAAAACCCCAGTGATTCTGCCAAAAGACATCTAGAAACTCAGTAGCATAGCAGGAGACAACACAAAAATCAATGGGGTTCCTGTATACTAATAATGAACTCACTGAGAAAGTAATTAGGAAAACTATACAAGTCAAAATAGCATCAAGAAAAATTAAATACTTAGGAATTAACCTAACCAAGGAAGAGAAACATCTACCATTAAAAGTACAGTACAAGTAAAAGAGCCAATCAAAAAATGCAGTACTATAATGAATAGACACTTCTGAGAAGTACAACTGGCCAGTAAAAAAATGAAAAAATGATCAACAGCTCTGGCAATTAGGGAAATGCAAATTAAAACAACACTGAGACTCCATCTCCAGAAAGAATGGCTGTCATCAAGAAATCAAATACTACTAAATGCCAGAGAGGCTGGAGGGGAAAAAGGACCCTTTTACACTGTTGGTGGGAATGTAAAATTGTACAACCACTATGAAAATTAGCGTGGAGATTTCTTTAAAAAGGAAAAATAGAAATTCTCTTTAATCCAGGTGTTTCCCCTTCAGGCATCCATCCCTAAAGGAGTTAAAAACATATTACAGTGATATATGCATATCCATGTTTACAGTAGCACAACTCAAAATAGCTAAGTCTTGGAAGTGGCCTGTATGCCCATCAAAAGATGAATGGATAAAGAAATTGCAGCATTTATATACAGAGTGCTACTCTTCCATAAAAAATAATGAACTTGAGTCATTTGTAGGAAAATGGATGAACCTTGTGACCATAATGTTAAGTGAAATAGATCATATACAGATGCATAAATTGTATAGTTTCTCTTATATGAGAAACCCAAGATATAAAGAGTAAAATAAAACATAGATAATAGGAAATAGATCTTTTGAAAAGGGAAAGGACAAAGAAAAGTCAGGTGTGATGGCACACACCTGTAAACCTAGCACTTGGAGGCCAGCCTGGGCTAGTAGTGAGTTCAAGGCTCTCCTGAACTACACAGCAAAACCCTGTCTCAAAACAAAACAAAACAAAACAAACAAAGCTGAAGAAAGTACAGAGGGAGAGGAGGGGAAGAGAATAAAACAAATAATGAAAATGTTTTAGGTACATGTATCAACTCACAATGAATGTAATCATTATTCTGCAAACATACAACAAAAATTAAAAACACATTTTTACCTTGTCTGTATTGTCATCCAGTTAAGTCAGAACTTAAAGTGAGATTAGTATATCAGTATTTCCTGAATATTAGATAATATTTGAAGTATATGCATAGTTATTTTAACATCAAAAATGCATTAGGAAAATACAGTTTCTTCCTTCCTTTCTTTTCTTTTCTTTTTTTTCGGGGGAACAGGGGATCAAACTTGGGACCTTGCGCTTGAGAGGCAGTTGGTGGCGGAACCACTGAGATAAATCCCCAGCCCTTTCTTTTTTGTTTTTTTTTTTAAGACAAGTTCTCTCTATGTACTTCAGGCTGGTCTTGAACTCACTATGTAGCCCACGCTGACCTCAGACTCACAGCAATTCTGCCTCAGTCTCCCAAGTGGTGAGATTATAGGCATGTGCCACCATGCCTGGCTGCTGCTGCTTTCTTAGAACTTTGTGATGTGTTCACCTAGCAACAGCTTCTTTGACGTGCAAACATTCTGCTGTCACTTTGCGCAGGACAGCCACATTAGTGGATAGCTCAGGTGTCTTTTGGGAATCAACCTTGTACTTGAAATTTTCCTTTGTGCCTGATGTGGTAAAATTTATACTTTTTACTTTCTGCTAAATGCAATATTGCATACTCATTGAATGTATAAAAACAGTCATGTACAGACCTAAAATTGTAGAATAAGATTGTCATATTGTGTTTTATTTTTTTAGACATGTATATTTTGTGTGTGTACATATGTGTATGTGTGGTACTAGGTGACACATTACTGTGTTTTTACAAAGTTAGTTTTAAAGAACTGTATTATCATCTATATAAATTAACCTTGTATCAAGGGATTTTTTTTCCCTATTGATTTTGTTATTTAATCTGTAATTTTTGTTCCTGCTGTGAACTACCTTTAATGTAGCAGAGGGTTTGAGAGTTTTATAAAATACTGAATGAGGTAATAAAAGAAAAGTAAAGGGCCAGGGATTTAGCTCAGCGGTTCCACCACCTGTCTCCAAGGCTCAAGGTCCGAGTTCAATCTCTGGTACCAAAAAGTAAAAAAAACCAAAACAACAACAACAACAACAACAAAAACCCCAAAACAATAAAAGAAAAGTATAAATCATATACCATATCTTAGGGTCGGGGATTTAGCTTAGTGGTGCCTCTGGCTGCCTTGCAAGGTCCCAAGTTCAATCCCTGGTACCAAAAAACAAACAAACAAAAATATACTATATCTTAGTTCACTTTTCCTACTATAGCAAAATACCTGAGACTGGGTAATTTATAAATAACAGAAATTTATTTCTCACAGTTTTAGAGGCTGGGAATTGCAGGAGCAAGTCACTGGCATTTGGGGTTTTGTTGAGTGTCTTCTTGCTGTCTCTTCACAGAATGGCAGAGAAAACAGCAAACCCACGCCCTCAAGCTATTTTATAAGAGCAGCCCTAATCCCACCCATGACTTCTACACCCTTCTGATTTAACCACCTCCTAAGGACCCCACCTTCCAAAGTATCACAGTGGCAATTAAATTTTAACCTATGATTTGGGGAGGGGACTTTTAGACCATATCAACAATAAAAGTTAGAAGAAGAGAAAGAGATCACCCTCACTTTGTAGAAATCAAATAAATCTCCCTCAAGCAGATGGTACTTGAACTGATATTGAAGGATTTACAGTATGTAAAGAACTTGTCTCAACAAAGAAACAAAAATCCTTATCCTGTTAAAATATGTGAGCATTATTTTGGGAGATGCCTTACTGCCTTTCCTTTTCTGTGTGCAGTAGAGGGATTTAACCCAGAGCTTTATGTATGCTAGGCAAGTACTTTACCACTAAGCTACAACCCTAGCCCTCCTGTTTTTTAAAATTTTACTTTACAAAAGAGAGATACTAAATGGGATTAAACTGGGTAGGAAAAATAGGGCTATGGTGATATGAGGGCCTTGGGAAGTTGAATTTATAAAAATTATACTATGAGGTTACATTTTATTTTCCTGTAGGGGATAAAAAAAGCACTAAACTATCA